TTCAATATCCAAAGTTAAGATACTGAGAAGGGGCGGGGGGAAGGGGGTAGAATTCCGGTACAGTTGTTCCTCTTCCGAGCATAAAACATTCCGAAAATATCACATCAGGCGGCATCTGCCGTCCAAAGATGCCCAATCACACATTAGCGTGTGAAAAGCCCTCCCAATCCAATGCAACGTAGACAAGTGGCGCACGCGCAGTGAAGTCAGCAACTGCTTGCGTCATGCGCAACGCAGTGCCGAAACCACATCGCCACCCCCTTGGCGCAGTCAGGCACTGGTACGAGTAGGAGGACGTTACCGGAAGCGTTCGCACGTGTGCCGTTGTTGTTTTGAATTCATCCGACGCTGCCAGCGACGCGCGCAATGGCCGGCGACGTCGCCTCAGCGCGGGCGCGCGGCTCCGCGGCGGGCTGGGCCGCGGAGAGCTCTGGGCCTCGCGGCGACGGCTCGGGCGACGGCTCGCGGGGGGACGGCTCGCGTGGGGACGGCTCGCGGGGGGACGGCTCGCAGGGGGACGGCTCGTGGGGGGACGGCTCGCAGGGGGACGGCTCGCAGGGGGACGGCTCGCGGGGGGACGGCTCGGGCGGGCGCGGCGGGTTGCTGCAGCGGGTGTGCGGGGCGCGGATCCCCGCGCGGTACCGGACGCGGGTGTACACGGCGGTGGCGGTGGTGGCGGTGGCGGCGGGGATGCGGGCAGCGTTCGGGCGGCGGGCGGGGCTCGAGTGGCTCGTGAACGGGTACACGTACGAGAGGAAGGATGCGGACGGGGCGCGGTTCTCGCTGTACATCTCGCCGTTCCCCGTGTGGGTGCTGGTGTTCCGGATCGGGCAGTTCTTGCTGCGGCGGCCGCGGCGCGAGGGGCGGTGAGCGGACGGGCGCGGGGGGGGGGATGGTGGAGTTTGTGTGGGTGGTGGGTGGCGCGGTGGTGGGCTGTGGTGTAGTGACAAGGCGTGTGGGGATGAATGAAAGAAAATAGGGTTGGTAGTTTTAGTGGTGGTAAGCTATAGAGGAGTAGGTTGGAATAACGGGGGTTCTAGTGGAGTAGAGAGGGAGAGATGGATGGGTGATGAGAGAAGAAGCAAGTTGGCACATTGCTGGGCAGGGCGCACCTAGACGCGACGGAAAGTTGAGACTGGGCAGATGCGGCGGTGGTGGTGGTGGTGCGGGCGCGACGGCGGATCGGCAGCGGGCCATGCCAACCATGGCTCGAAAGCAGGGGCGGCGACTGTGTGTGTGTGTGTGTGTGTGTGTAAAGCAACTCGAACAAGCGCACTAAAGCGGTACGGGTCGGGAGCTGTGCGACAGCGTGGACGCCGAAAGCGATGCAGGGGATGTCATGTGTCACCCTGAAGCGCGAGCGGGCGTAGCGGGATGTCGGGGACGGTCTGGACGGGGATCTCTGTAACCTTTGTGGCGAGGTCGTCAAAGTCGTCCTTGCCGGCGTTGTGCACGGGCGCAGAGATGGAGCCCGTGACGCGCGTATACCGATGAAAGCTCTTCCCCCTCCGCAGGCTCTGCCTCCTCTGCAGGGCGTCGGCCCCCCTCAGCGCGTGGCAGGCATCGCCGCCGTAGAAGCTGCAGCGCGTATCCCGGAACGAGGTA